GTTTTTTTTTTTATACACACACACACACACACACACACACACACACACACACACACACACACACACACCTGTCAGAAACCTTTGCTCTTCATTTGTTTCATGAGAAACCAAATAGAACTAGCTTTCTCATTTTCACATGCACTTTTTCTTTTGTTCTGTTATCATTTATACATCCTTTCACACTGAAACCCATAGCCTCAGATAACGAACATTTACGGGTAAGCCTCTCTTTGGCTGCATGTTCCATGCTGCTTCTCATCTGTCCTTTCTCATCTTCCCTGTGCTTTTCAAACAACCACGGGCAGTTAAACAGGCTAAATGGAAAATTTAGACCAGAACTTGTCAACAGTTTTCATAATGTAATTTTTTTTCTTAAGACTAGTCTGCAGTGTACAGCTGTTTTATGTAGGTGCATGTAAACAATAGGGAACCAGATATTTGCAGAAGTTCAGTATTCTATGAATTGGATCCTGATGGAGGTATCTTGAAATACTATAGCAAGTTATGTCCACCCATTTTGATAAGAGGGTCATATCCATGTCCATGCAAGTCGATACTGCCAGGTCTTGACTTTTTGTGACCCACTGATCCCCACCAACATGTCCTTCCTGTGAAGTGTGAAGTTAGTGTCCCTCGCTGTCACCATCTTCTCTTCTTCTTTGTGTCTGTCTTTACATCTGTTTTAAACATTGTAGCATTTCTCATGAAGAATATGGCGCCTGTAACTTGAGGCCAGGCCAGTTGTTTTGCTTATAAAATCTTTTTTTTTTCCTCCAAGCTGTTTCATGTTGATCATGGGAACAATTATTTGTCTTCCACCCTTTTCCAAGTCTGTCCTTACTTTGTTCCACTCCAACTTTCTCTCTCTCTCTTTCAGATCCAAACCAGATTACAGAATCTCAGTAGCAATTTGCAGAACAAGAGCAATGACATTGAGGTTCTGGCAGTAAGTCATTTGTTTGTTTACTCCTTTCCCCTCCTCCCAACCCCAGCCCCTCTTTTCTGCTCTCCCACCTTATTGCTTGAATTCATGTGTGAAATCACAGAGTGAGGAATGAGCTTTTGATAGATAAAACAACAAACATGACGGGGAGCTGGATTGCATCAGCAGTGCAACTGTAGATACAAGTATATGAAACAAGATCCCAGTAAGCAGTTACAAAGGTCTGTATATTTTAGTTGTTACTTGCTAGCAGCCTGCTTGTTTATCAATCAGGCTCGGACACAGCGGGACTCATTTTCCAGTGATAAACCCAGATGTTCGTTAGCCCGACCTGGAAAAGAAATGTGGAATGCCTTCAGACCTGGCAGGAGCATTGTGAGAGTAGTTTTGAATGTGGTATTCAACAGCAAAATGGCCACTTCCTATCAAAATGTGCAATATGTTGTGTTCTGTGGTTTGTGCAATTGTTACAACCTGTGACTTCATTGTGTTTTTGTGTAACCCATTTTTTTATTCCACAGGTGGACCTGCAGAAGGAAACACTGATCAACTTCCTGTCTCTGGAGGTTAGTGGCTTCATCAGTAACACTGCAGAGTTAATAAAAGGCTACATCCTGCTTGAAGGGTGGAGGTGGAAAGAACTGCCAACAGAGAGGATGCGAGATGGGAAGAGGGGATCCCGACTCCTTCCTCTCAGTGCCGGCTGTTGAGTAGAGGAGTGAGGGAGCTCCCCAGCCTGGTTTTTCACTTGCACTCTTTATTCAGGCTCACATACAAGACACACATGCACTACCTTTAACAAAACGCACTCACACAGAGGTGTTGGATATTCATGTTTCTGACTGACTACACTCGTAAAAACTCGTTCCCTCTTTCCCATTCAACTGTTTTAACCTCTGCTTTTTGTTCTTTCCAGTTTGAAAGTGAAGAGCAGTTCAACAGCAGCGTGAAGACTCTGCTGTCTCGCCTCCCAAAGCAGCGCTACTTGAAGTCCATCTGTGAAGAGATCCACCATTTCAAAATTACAAAAAGGTGCATTGGTGTACAACCAGGGTCCTTTGCACATGGTTGTGTTGTGTGTTAGGTTTTTGAGTTCTTTTGTCTTGTTTAACATCAAAGCAAAGTCTTAAATTTGAGTTTTCCTCATGGCCGACAAGAACATTCATATGAGAGAGGTAGTTGTTAATTAGAAGTGACATCACCAGGACCATGAAAGAAGTACTGAATATAATGTGAGATGAACAGTGATAGCTGCAGGGAAATGTGTCAAAAAGAGATATTACAGTGGATGAAATGAAAAAAAAAAAAAAAAAAGGCTTTTAACATTTAAATACAATAAAATAAGCTAAGAACCCTAGAACAAGCCATTCAATTAAAATTATTTAAGGGACATAGAAAAGATTTAAATAAGCTGAAAGAACAGGTAGTATAGTA